CAGGATTACTTAAAATGATCTCGCAAAAAAACAAAACAAAAAAACAAGCAAAAATGTGCTTTCTTTTGTCATATTTTGTTTTTTTTTTGTTTTCATTTTTATCAGAAGAGTATTATTTTATTATATCACCAATATAGAATTGTTATTGACTTTGATTTTCTGTAAACAGAAATTTTAAAAGTGTGGTTTTCCTCTTCTTTCTACACCCTAGGTTGCACACACCGGCTGACTGTGCATCCACACATAGATGGTCTATGCATCTGCATAAACTGACAAAATTCAGACTAATCACTGTTTATTCAGTGTTTTATTTCACATGAATTAACAATACTGCCACCATTTAGTCTTCACTGTCAACATTCTGTGTATGTAACCCTGAAAGAAAAAGAATTTTTTTTTTTTTCAGTAAATTTATACAAAACAATAGATGGCAATATTTCCTTGGATAAGTTTGATACAATAAAAATTGAGTTTGTACAGATTTAATTTGAAACAATTTAGTTTTCCCCAATTTTGATGCCCATAAACTACACAAACTGTTCAAAACTTGGTCAAATTTGTTTTTCTATATTGGTAGCTGAGAAAACATTCTGTATGCGGTTCATTATTTCATGGGTTGCCAAATATATGATACAATATTTATTGTTGATCAGTTTTATAAAATGTTGCTAGTTAACTCCAAAATTAGTTTTTTTCACAACATTTCTTTTACATGTATGCATAAAAAAGATTTGAACGTTTCATCAATATTAACAAAATAGTTCATTTTTATTACAATACGTTACTTTGCTCAGATTATGATTAAATATAAAATGTTGAATTAATTGCGCAAATAACTGCAGAAAAAGTGAAAATTATACTGATAAACAACCTTAATTATAAAACAGCTACACATCACTCAGACTTGGTAAACATTGAGCCACATTTGCTGTTGCATCAGTTCGGACACTTAATCATCATAGTGAGTGCTTTATTTAAATGCCAACTTTAGTATATTTAACCGAAAATTCTACATATTTTTTTTTCACACCAAGTACTGTAAAATCTGTATTAGAAACCGCGGCTTCTATTAAAATGGTACAATGCAACAGAGGGGATGCGGCTTCTATTAGAGCATCTACACATATGAGAAATGGTGAATTTTTGATTCTCAGTTATTCAAAAAGAATGGGTGCGACTTCTATTAGGAATGCGGCTTCTAATACAGATTTTACGGTAGTGTAAACAAAGACAACTCGAGAGCCATACTGGCATTTTGGTCAATGCAATTATGCTATTAAAACCATATATAGTCTCAAATAAACCATTAAAATGTGAGTTATTTTGACCATAAATTCAATAGTCATTCAGAGAAAAGTATACACTACTAACAGAGAAAATACAGTATTTCTAATACAAAAGCTCAAACATCCTTTCATTAGTATAAAATCAAATACTTAATTTATTATTGACATTTTAGGAACAAAAGGACATATTGAAAT